AGGAACGCCTGACTTACAAAGTCGGGAAAGATGAGGGTGATTTACTCATAAGCATTTTCGTGTTTTTTTGCTTTGTAATATGTTCATGAACTGCGCTTTGAGGCAACTTTGTAAGACGAATGTCTTTCAACGTGTTTCGTGTGTTCATACGTCAAGAACTATTGGTATTTGAGGTACAAGAAATATGGCGCTAAAGTCACCGAAACAGACAGCAGTAAAATAGACAAGGAACCTGTCGTTGTTCTTCTCGGATGGAATGGTTCAAAAGATAAACACCTTACTAAATACAGCGACATTTTCACAAAGAAAAACTATGGAACTRTTAGTGTCACAGCTCATCCTTTCAACACTTTTTTCAGGTCCGACACGAAAGTAAAACAAAYCGGACACAACATTTTGAAGGTCTTGAATGAGATGAATGGTAAAGAAAGACCAATTTTTCTTTATTCGTTTAGTAACGGAGGTTGTGCAGTATTTTTTCATATAATGGAATCATTGACTATGCCGGAGAGTGAATATTATGGTAAATTCAATGTTGTTGGATCAATATTTGACAGCTGTCCCATCAGCCCAGACAACAACAATAGTGTAAAAATAGTTCAACAGAGCATTACAGAAAACATTTCTAATCCAGTTGCRAAAAGAGTAGTTTGGTATGGTTTAGGGGTGTTTGTWCCWTTGGTTGTTCAAATTAACCCAGACGTTCAGCGTTTCATGAGATGCATGAAACAATCACCTTTGATGTGTGATCAGCTTTTCCTTTACTCCAAGGCTGACCGTTTTGCACCATATGCCGAYATAGATGATTTCATCAAAGCTAGAAGATCTTTAGGTGTTYATGTTGTAGSCCAATGTTGGGAGACATCTACTCATGTGAATCATTACAGAGAGCATACTGATGAATATTTGAAACTTGTTAACAAATTTGTTGAAAATTGTCTAAAAAATATTCATAAGTAAAAATTCTTTTTGGTTACATGTAAGTATAAATAAAGAAACTCCACATCAAAGAATTGCAAACTATTATATCTACATTGCTTCACTGTCATTATAATTAATCAAAAAAGGAGTTTATTTAATTAAACACTAGAGAAAAACAAATGGCCTGTTTAATATTCTTTACTACACAACATTTTTTTAACCATTGTTTTATCCAGTTTATATACACAAAACCAATTTAAGGTTTAAATTGTTTTTTGTTTTTTTAGCATCCTGAGATTATCAGCTGGTGAACATCCTTTATTTTGATCCAAAAGAAAATGTTTGAAGGCATACAACAAGGCCAGTTTTTTTCAAGCTAATTTTCTGATAAGATCACAATTTTGTTGACAGCCAGTTTGTCATACAACATTTCAAGATCTGCACAATCCTATCAAAGTTGTGAAGTGTGAATCAGAATTCACCCAAACATCAGCTCTATCATTATTGATGTGCTCAATCCCAGGTATTTTTTAGCACTGAATTTTGCGCGGAAGAAGCAATCAGTCAGTCCCATTTACTTTTTCTTTGACGGTTGTTTGATGAAGTTTGTTTTAATGAAGGTTGACTTGAKGAYTTCATRTATCCTATGTAWGCCACGCATCCAACCAAAGCTGCTACYCCRCAGAACATCACAACTTTATTCTAAACATCGATTACAAAAAAAAAACATGTTACACTACATTGATTGCATTTTTAATTCAAAAGCTGTTGCTTTTACAGTGATAGAAATATATATTTATTTTGAGTGATAATGTATTACTTACTGGTTTGATAAAAAGCTCAGGATTGATCAGTCTAAAGGCAAATGTTGACTGCCTTACTTGAGGCCCTTTTGGAGTCTTTTTGTCCGCCATGTTGTTTTGATTGTTCGTCAACCGGGCACCCTGTGCTAGCGTAAGCACAGGGTTCCCATTTCTCGAACGAACGCCGCGCGCTGCTCGGCATTCGCTGCTCGGCTCGGTGGCGCTTTTGCATATTTATCATCCGGAATTTATCAAGTTCGTCTCTGTCTGACCGATTACTAGTAATTTGCACAAAACACGTGTCGATTTGCTTTTCGGTTAGTGTATTAGTTGATATCATCTGACATTGAAATAGCTAAATTAGATTTTATTTTTATGTCATCAACTACATCTACGAATATCAATACTTTTTGTCTATTTTGTGGACCAGGTTACCCGAGTACAATAAATTTAAGATTTAATCATTGTGCTGCATGCACAGAGCTCCTCTCACAAAGACTTCAGTCTTGATTTATTTTTGCTAATCTTTTATTATCTTTTGAATTAAATATGTGAAATTTGTTGAGAGCTAATGACACTTGTGAGAACGTTACAGTGGTGCAACCAGCCGACCGCGTGCTTACTAAACGTTGGTGTTCTGTAGAAAAAGAAAACTGAAAATTAGAAAAATATATACGGTACGTGTGTCAGAGGGGGAGGGGGAGGGGCACGAGGTATTTTCTTCCTGGAGGGCTGAAGACACCTAAAGTACSAAGGGGTGTGTTTATGAGAAGTAGGTACGGTGGCATTAGGTGAGGCAGCGCATTACTTAGTATCAGATTCATACCAGTTTATTAGCGTTGACTTCCATGACACCTAGAGTAGGTTTACTGAGTTTCCTGTGTCTTCTCAAGGGGGAAACAGTCGTACTTTTAGGCTTAAAGTGTTTTTGCGTGTCTTTGTACATGTTTTCGATCATTTCTTTGATGTCCTGAATTCTCTGGAA